GGGGGGGGGCATACCCACCATTTATACAAAAATGGTTCCCGTTTACCCAAGGATGATCCACAACAAATATGGACCAAATCCTTTCATTCCTACAGAAGGAGAAGGATTTTAAAGAATAATTTGCTATGTTCCCCCTATTGGGCCCCATCCCTCAGGCCCCTGGGAGACCAGACGCCCCATTTATAGAAATAAGTGTTCCCCTGCCCGCAATAATGCTTTTGAACAAATTTGGACCAAATCCTTTAATTTCTACAGAAGAAGGATTTTAAAGAATAATTTGCTGTGTTTCCCCTATTGGGCCCCGTCCCTTAGGCCCCTGGGGGCCAGACCCACGGGTTATACAAAACTGGTCGCCCTTCAGTATAATGTGACCGGGTAGGGCGTCCTGTTGGGTGTCTTTAGCAGTATGTTTCAGTGAGGTAGCACTATAACGTCGGCATCAGTTCCGCGCTATCACAAGGAGACAAACACAAACATATCACAGCCTCCCAAAATACACACACATGCACTACACGCATGCATCTTGCACACAGGGGAGGCCGTCCTTAAATGACCTTAGCTGTTAATATGACGTTAAACAAAACAAGAGGCCCATAGGGCCTGTATCGCTCACCTGGATATCTAAGCAATCATGGCAAAATATTCTCCAAATGAGATCCAAGGTAATATGTCAGACCCCAAGGCCAATCCTTGTAGCATATCTGTATTAGATATTTCATGCACAGCAATTTTATGTATGGTTATGGGGTGGGATCTTAACTGTTTCCAAGCTGTGATTCAGAAACTAGGTCTCTAGGGTTGTGGCCGGACCCCAGGATCAATTCTAATATCATGACTGCATTTGTCTCTTTTTGCTCAGCATTTGTATATATAGTTTTGGGGTGGGGATCTCAACCGTTTCAAAGTTGTGACCCAGGGGTTAAGTCTCGAGAGTGGGGCAGACCCTGGGGTCAATTCTAATATCATGACTGCATTCATGTCTTTATGCCCAACAATAATATATATAGTTTTGGGGTGGGGATCTTAACCATTTCGAAGTTATGACTAAGGGGTCAAGTCTCCAAGGGTGGGGCAGTCCCCAAGGCCATCCTGGAAGCATATGTGCATTCGTCTCTTTATACTCAGCAATTGTATATATGGTTATAGGGTGGGGATCTCAAATGTTTCCAAGCTGTGACTAAGAAACTAGGTCCCAAGGTCAGACACCCAGGGTCTATTCAAATATCAAGACTGCATTCGTTTCTTTATGCCCAGCATTTGTATATATAGTTTTGGGGTGGGGATCTCAACCGTTTAAAAGTTATGGTCCAGGCACTATGTCTCCAAGGGTGGGGCCAGACCCTAGGGCCATCCTGGAAGTAAATGTGCATTCTTCTCTTTATACTCAGCAATTATATATATGGTGGGGATCTCAACCATTTCCAAGTAATACACTTTTTTTTGGCCCACCCCTTAGCCCAGGGGGTCAGTCACACCATTTGTACAATTTTGAATCCCTGCCTCCCATGAATGCATCTGAGCAAATATGATTGATATCCATGACATAGTTCTACAGAATCAGTCGTTTATAGCAATTTAGCCAAAATTGCCCCCTTTTGGCCCATGACCCTCCGCCCCCTGGGGGGACAGCCACACCATTTGTACAATTTTGATTCCCTGCCTCCCATGAATGCCTTTGATTAAATATGATTGAAATCCAGTGCATAGTTCTACAGAAGAAGTCGTTTGTAGCACTATAGCCAAATTGCCCCCTTTTGGCCCCGCCCCTCAGCCTCCTGGGGGTTCAGCCCAACCATTTGTACACGTTTGAATCTCCACCACCTAGGAATGCTTCCAGGCAAATATGGTCGATATCCATTTCTTAGTTCCAGAGAAGAAGTCGCTTAAAGCAATATAGCCAAATTGCCCCCTTTTTGCCCCGCCCCTTCGGAACTTTGTGCAAAACTAGTTGAAAATCATGCAGAAGCAACTAGTTCCAAAAAAATCTTTCTGTGTATTTAGTTCACAAGTCGATTGCTAGTATAAATATTTTGACAACGTATTTGGAAAGTTCTCAATAGTTTTCAAAGTTGATGTGAAACAACTTATTTGCAAGAGGACAAAAAATCTTACTTAACCTAGGGTGCAAGTGAACATTATCATCAATGATTCTAGAACATTGAGATAAAATACATTTCTAGATTCTTATCAATAACATACAATCACTTTAAAAAAAATCTTATGAAAGTTCATTATTGTGTACAACACTTTCGATTTGTTTAGGTAGTACAGACCTGTCCTTTCATCGTCGGTCACCAAATCCTACACGTCCCCGGTCTCCGAATCCGCCTCGTCCACCTCTAGGTCCTCCACGGCCTCTGTCACCAACTCCACCTCGTCCTCCACGGTCTCCAAATCCACCAAGGCATCCTCCAAATCTGGGGTCACCACGTCCTCTGTCAAATCCTCCACGACCCCCACTATCAAAACCTCCAAGCCCACGGCCACGGTATCCTGTAGATCAAATTCAGTTAAAATGTCAATATTTCAATTCCTTCTCAAGTTGGACTCAATTCAACTACCAAATAAAACCTGATTCATTTGCCAATGAATTTGACTAGATTAGCATTGCCTGTGCGTAGGATTTTTCACATGTTTAAACAAAAAATTCACAAGCAATTTGTTCAAACAACCAAAAATGGTAAATCAGCAAAATATTATCAGCTCAATGTTACTAGCGGTAGTGACAAGTCATGTACTGCCCCAGAAATTCTCCCTCCGTCTACCCATTCTGCCTTGTGCAAGTAACGTAGATCCACAGGGGTTCGGACCAAATGTCCGAAATACACATATCATGCTATAACTGATATGGGTCACAGCACACATAATGCAAGTGTATGTGTGCTGTGACCCATATCAGTATAGCATATGTATTTAAGACATTTCTAACAGACCCCTGTGGTAGATCAATGTGGTCCCGTCTTACATAAAATACAGTCGATCAGCCAAATGTCATATCAAATGTTTCGTCTGTTCTGGCCTGCTGTCTAATTCGACATTCAATTACTGCAGCTTCACATTCCAGAAGATGTAGAATCTCGAAATGTAGCGGCTCTCCACTTCGAGCTTGTTAAAAGATGGCTGCCGTAGACTCGCAGCTGAGCCTGTGCACCGCGTCTAGACATTATTCTTCCGCGATGACACATCAGAAAATTTGATAGCTTATGAATTCACCAATAAAAATTAAATATAACATTTAAGATACAGTTTCGTGTTTTGTTTCTACATAATTTTGCTGTATTGAACTATCAACGTTCACCATCATGTTGTATGATGTCTCTTCAGTGACGGACTATATTTTTTACATTATGTCAATACGTAGACTTGCACAAGCTCCAGAAGATGGGACAAACGATCAGAATGGACTTCACAAGTTCCAATTATTGATAAAAAGCACGTAGATTGAAATATAAGGATTGAATCTTGCTTTGGTCGATTCCATGGGGTGATGGATTGAGTTGGTCTTGAAACAGATTCAACATGAACTGCTTGTTTCAAGACCAACTCAATTCATCACCCCTTGACATCGACCGAAGCAAGATTCAATCATTAATTGAAGTTTAATTTGCTGTACATACCAGAAAACTACAAGGAAATCACACATTGCAATAAGCACTATAAAGAAAATATAAATAGCAGGTTTAAGCTACGCAGTTAGTCAATTATGGATAAACACCTCTACAAAGTGAGAAATTCTGATTGGCATAGGCCATATGCTACTGCTGTTCTATCAAGTAAATGCCTGGACAGTTTCAGTAAAAGTACTTCCCAGAATAAAACAATTTAAGTTATTTTTTATTCTTTATAGCTTAAATTTACCCCGTACACTGACAATTCAGCAAATCCCAATGAAATTGCAGCAGAGATAGTAATTGTTTAGAATATATCAGAAGCTGTATTCTAGTGTACATACCTCCAGAGCAGCCATCATCATCACCACCGTTTGGGCGGGGACTGTTACAGAGATTACACGAATTCCTCCAGGCAAAGTTCTTGTTGTTACAGCCATCTTCCTCGCATACCCAGTCTCCGGATCTCTCTGATCCACCTCCACCGCCACCGCCTCCGCGACCACCACCATATCCTCCTCTGCCGCGGTCTCCACCACCACGGTCCCCACAGAAACCACCTCGTCCTCCTCCACGGCCTCCTCTCATTGCCAGGGAGTTGATCTTCCTCTCTGCAATCTCAACCTGGATGGTCTTTACGTTGAAGCCTTTCTCTGTTTCCCAAGAGAGAAAATGTTATTTAATATTGATATTCACTACATGACGACACAATACATAAATGCTGCTTTATTTTATAGTATTCTCAAGTTTGACAACTGAACCAAGCTAGGTAATTTCTGAAAGAAGGATGGATGCAATGGTCCTTTTTGTGTTTTGTTTTGCAAGTTTTGACAGGTCTGACATGTTTGTCAAGTACACTATGCTACGCATAAAAGAGAGACCAAATTATGTATTACAGTTAACAACTAATTCTCATATTCCAAGAAATTCTGCATGATACTTCAAATTTATTTCAAGAAAGTAATTGAATGGGTCCCCTGGGTATTTTCATTTCATTCTGTTTAATTAATTTGGTTGCCCATAGCTTCGCTGACTCTTTCATAAGAGTTTTTTTTTCTTTCCACAGTAAAATTCTAGGATCACCCCCAGCTGCATGAAAATCATAAAGAACCAGAAATAAATTTACAGAAGAGTTGTTTGATACAGCACTAACCTCCACGCCAACCACAGAGACATAGACAATTGACAAAGGGTCCGTGCTGCAGTAAATTCTTATCTCTCTCACTGCTCCCTTTTTCTATACTTACCATTGCACCAGTTGATGGCTGCCTTGGCAGATTCAGAATCATCATAGGTAATGGTGGCCTCGCCTTTATGCCTGCCAGATATCTTATCCTTGTAGATCCAGATCTTTGGCTTGCCGGTCCTACGGTCAGTCTGATGAAAAAGGAAAGACAGGTTAACTGAAATGTTTCTATAATATTGACATTTTTATCTGCATGCTATAATACTATCATCATACTATAAAGAGGACGTTGAGGACTTCTACTCACCTTGATGACACCAAGGCTTCCGAAGTGGTTGAAGAGAGCGTCCTCATCGGCATCCTCCCCGAGTCCCGACACAAAGATAGTGTCCATCATCTGTTCCATCTCTGGGCGTCCACTGCCACCATCATCATCCCTTCCTGTAACGGTTATTGCAGTGTTATTTACATGTCATAACTCATGCAGCTTATGATTAAAGTGTTTTCTAGAATAAAACTAAACAACGTTGTCTAGAATAAATTTGACGAATTTCGATTTCTTTGCTTCATGTTTAGGTTTTTGTCCAAAATATTTTCCTTCTGTTTCTTATAACCCAACAACACCTTAATAAATAATTCAGGTTCCAACTTCAGAGAATCCAGGTCACATATTGAATTTGTCCCTAGATCTGTACAAAAAGACACAATTTTTGCTCGTGCGCAAGTACTATTGGAAAATAACTTGTATTAACCAATGTACTGGCACACCAACAACGAGAATAATTATTTTTGATGGAAACCACATATATAATCTAACCAGAGCTCGCCAATGTTTGGGATAAAATCACTATGAACAAGAACAATCTGGGGGTCTGGGGGTGTGGATATGGGTTTGACTACAGACAAGGAATATTTTATCAAGAGCTCTGGTTAACAGTAAACACTTGGTGACCAATTCAACATTTGGAGACATATTGCAACAAATATGTTTTGCAAAATATTAATATAATGTGAAGTTGAATGATTGAATTGCCCACTATCAAACAGTAACAAAATGTTTAACACACAAAACAGCAGTGGTGCATTACGATATGAACAACCTTCCAGCTACAGTTTGGTTTGATTATTTGGTCTCGACTTTTCAATTAAAATGTCCATTACAGACTTTTATACCTTTTACCTCAGGCTTTGTTCCTACTTATTGGATGCATTTCTTTTAACATTTTTCTACTTTTCCTTTCATTTTCTTTTGCAATACAATACTTTTATTTACAGCAAGCGTTTGTTGTTTATTTGGATTTACCCCCTTTTTCCGTGTTTTGCTTTGCCATACTCATTTCTATAGTGGCAATAACCTTTACATGTAATGTACATTCAATTTAATGTTCTAAAATCAATTTCATTTCAAACCATCTTTGTATTAAGATTCAATCTGGTCACCTCCTTACACCTTTAGATTATATACCATTTTTAGTCGGTCTTCAACAACATTTACTACTTGCTTGGAAGGCTTTTTAAGATTTGTTGACTTTTGGAGTTATTAACCTTTTACATTTAATGGTCTTGACAAGTCAGCACACGCCATGTTTATGAGGCAAATAAACTGTGCCAACTCATTTTATGATATTTCACATCAACTCGTTGCTTTAATCGCTCATTTTATGGAATAGCAGTATTTTTACCCGTTTCCACAATTGTTTTACTTTTAAATCACTCCCCGTTTAGATCAACCCAGTCAAAAAATGCTGTTCATTGGATGACTTTTCCAATGCTAGTTTACTCACAACATTACATTTTGAATGGTGCAATATCTGTCACTCATCTTGTTTCAAGACTGATGTCACTTATGTTTCACCAAAGTTGACATTTTCACATGATGTAACATGAAATATATACACATTTCCTCCCTAAGATCCATAAATTCATGAGTGCTCTACAATAGCTCCATCTTCCAAACAGAAGGTGAAATGAAACCTGTTTATCAGAACTTAGCATTGATACGAGGCACTGGACTAATGTAATACCAAATGTTCACTTTGTTCATGTATACAGTATCTGAATGCTTCAAGTTTTGTACACTTAGATTTTTGTGAATCAAAGACTGAGCTGTCCTGTTAATTTCTCATCAGTGCGTCCCTATATTCAATCCTGGATACACCGTGTGCTCATATATTTTCCTATTTCCTTTTGCTGACAGCAAGATTGATTTTCCCACACTATTTCTGTTGCCAGTCAATAAAAAATATATGAGCATACTGTATCCGAACTCCTTCAATATATCAATGTTTTAAACCTGTTTACATTTCTCAGTTTGAAACATGTCTAGTGAGGATGAACCCTGTGTAGGGAGTAAAAGAGGGATTCTAAACAAGGATAGGACTATGATACCAAAGCTACATTACCAATAACATTAAGGACATAGTTATTCTGTTTCATGATATATGAGAATTGTTGTTCCAAAGCTTCAACCACCTTTTTGGTACAATACTGGTCCAGAAGTACCAAGACCATTTGCCGATGCCCTTGGCATTTCTATAAGTGTATAGTATCTGAAGATTCTGTTCATGTGAAGGTGTAACTCCCCTAGTAATAATACACTGCCAACAGACTGTCTTCTCTTCTGTAGCAATCTACAAATCACTGTTTGTCACCCAATTCAAACCTCATCAGCATTTGACACTTTGCACGATGTGGACGCTGCACAACGGTAACACTATTTCTCTTGTTATAAGCAGCAAACTGTTGTGTCGGTACACCATGAACCTTGGGACAAGTGCCGTTACTAACATCTGGTAAAAGTAAATACATCGACATATACTACAGATTTTAACATTTGACAAGTCAACACATGTATATACCAATTGTTTAAGTGATTTGATAGATTCAGCTTAAGACTGTTTGATACCTCTACCGCCACCGCCTCCGCGACCACCACCATATCCTCCTCTGCCGCGGTCTCCACCACCACGGTCGCCAAAGAAACCACCTCCTCCTCCAAAGCCTCCTCTCATTTCCAGGGGGTTGATCTTCCTCTCTGCAATCTCAACCTTGATGGTCTTTCCGTTGAGGTCTTTCTCTGTTACCCAAGAGAGAAAATGTTATGTAATATTGATATTCATTACATGACTACAAAATACATAAATGCTGCTTTATTTTATAGTATTCTCAAGTTTGACCACTGAACCAAGCTAGGTAATTTCTAAAAGAAGGATGGATGCAATGGTCCTTTTTGTGTTTTGTTTTGCAAAGTTTTGACAGGTCTGACATGTTTGTCAAGTTCACTATGCTACGCATAAAAGAGAGACCAAATTATGTATTACAGTTAACAACTAATTCTCATATTCCAAGAAATTCTGCATGATACTTCAGATTTATTTCAAGAAAATAATGGACTGGGTCCTTTCATAAGAATATATTTTTTTCCACAGTAAAATTCTAGGATCACCCCCAGCTGCATGAAAATCATAAAGAACCAGAAATAAATTTACAGGAAAGTTGTTTGATACAGCACTGACACCCCAACCATTTGTATAATTTAGAATCTCAACTACCTAGGGATGCTTCCAGTCAAATATGGCTCATATCCATCTCTTAGTTCCAGAGAAGAAGTCTCTTAAAGCAATATAGGCAAATTGCCCCTTTTTGGCCCCGCCCCTAAGCCCCCTGAGGCGTCAGTCCCACCATTTGTATAATTTTGAATCCCCATCACATAGGGATGCTTCCAGTCAAGTTTAGTTAAATTCCAATCAGTGGTTGAGAAGAAGAGGTCGTTTGAAGAAATTGTCGACGTACGGACGGACGACGGACGAACAACGGACGCCACGGTATGACATAAGCTCACCTTCGTCCTTCGGACCCGGTGAGCTAATAATAGAAACTGTGTGCTTATCATAGCTACTCTACATCACACCATAAGCAATGGAGGTGAAACGGTTTGTAATTTACACAATTTAAACAACTGAATTAACATGTTTTTGAGAACAATTGTACCTTATTGTTTTATTTATTGGATTATGTTGAAAGAATGAAAAAATGAATAGTTAAGCATTTTAAAAAATATATAAAAATCATGGGTGGTAGGTGGGTTTTTTAAGAAAAATGAAAACATAACACAACCTCTGCTGCATTAAAGAGTATGGTCAGTACCCAGAGGTCATTCCAAACACACACAGTACCCATCTACTGTGTACGGCTGGGTGACCAGGGATACTGAACTTCGAGGATGCTGCTTCGATGCTTCAGGCTGCTGGAGAAATCTGGCCAGGAGCCTTAGAAAAGACTCCAGTTTTGTTGGTGGGACACATTTCACAATGCTTCTCCATCAGTTGAAGGACTCAATCTTCATTATAGGGTTTTTGCCCCCAATGCACTTCTTCACACATTTCAACCTTTTTGTTGTACAAAATAAACTGTCAAATCATAAAACACATTTCCAGACTGTTTTATCAAGTGGCTCTGGTTTATCAAAGATTAAAGGTGTAAGCTTGTAATCAAATTCCAGGTTCTATGTCTAATAATAATAATAATAATAATAATAATATACAACATTTATATAGCGCCCAATATAATTTGTAAAATTACTCTAAAGCGCTTTACAACATATGGATAATAATAATGGTTATAATTGTGAAAACCAGAAACAAAATCTTATAATTACTTTTATACATTTAAGCCAGCACTTTATCCGCCATGATTTATACCCGAAATATAACATTTAAAAACAGACAAACTGTTTGTTCCACATGAATTTACAGGTCATTTACTCTGCTTTATCAATTTAAATAGTGACGTTTTTTCTGGTCGGCGCCCTTGCCCTTATTAAATCCTAGCTTGAGCACTGATAAATTGTTGTAAGATCGCAGCTTGACTATGCATGGCACCACACAGGTCTACAAAAACACATTGACAAGATAGAGGGAGTTCAAAGAAGAGCAAGTGTCTCCCGGGAATGAAGGACCTGAACTACATTGAGAGGTTGGAGAAAATAAAGCTACCAACACTGGCCTTCAGGAGAACAAGGGGATATATAATAGAACTGTACAAAATAATATTACACATTTATGATAAAAAATGTTTTAACGCTGGCATACTATGGAAGAATGCCGCTGATCGCCACAGTGGCAGAGGACACATCAAAACAAATATTCCCTTAAGGGATCAATAAATTCCCTCAGAAAAATATATTTTTCACTCAGATTAGTGATAATTTGGAATGAACAGCCAGAACATATATCAGCACTAAATGCTTATTCTTTTAACAATAAGCTAGACAATCACTTGAAAAATCAAGATTTTTTTCTTCAATTACACAGCAACAATCAAATCGTAGACATCAATGTACATTATACCGGATAAACGTGGCAGATGTAATTTGTTTATTTATTTGAGAGTCTGGTGTAGAGGACTTTAATTGTCCTGAACCAGAAATAAACTTATCTTCACTTTGTCGTAGTCTGTCAAACGTACGAAAGTGTTGTCTGCAAATGAGGCCACATCTCCTAGCGCGATTTTTGCCACTTCCGAAGAGCGAAGAAGAAATTCTTATATCGATAAACAGTGTTTGCAAAGAAATATATCAATCTTGTTTTGCAATGAACTTTCAAAATGTTCATCAATTTTAAACAGCAAAATAAAAAATGAAAACCAAGACAAAGTAAATTGCAAGGCAATCAATAGTCCCCCACCGGTAATGATTTCTATATTTAACAAAGATTACACTTATGTCAGGAAGCAAAGATCACAGTGACGTCATAGTGACCTACTTCTTGCACTCCACCATCCTAAGATATCCTTGTACACCAAATCTAGTTACTCCTGGTGAAATTTGTTTTGGTTTGTTTTTGTTTTACATCCTATTAACAGCTATGGTCATTTAAGGACGTGCAAGGTTCCGGGTGAAAAACCTCTGACCTACGGCCAGTACCTGGCGACTGCCCCATGTAGGTCTCGAACCTGCGACCCAGTGAAGGAGGGCCAGTGGTAGCGGAATGTCGGACGCCTTCACCACTTGGCCACAGCGGCCTCTCCAGGGCAGATCTTCTTTCCAGAAATCTGGTGTACTCCAATCTGGTGTACTCCAGCTAAAAAAGTATAGAACAGATGCCCCGTATCAACTTTTTCAAAAGTTTAGGTCAAAGGTCAAATCTTAGGTCACAGTAAGGTCATATTGACCTTTTTCTTGCACTCTGCATTCCGCAATCCCAAGATGCCCATGTACACCAAAGATATGTCAGGATAAACTTCTCAGATGGGATGACGGAGTGCAAACCTATAGTCCCTCCCGGGAACTAGTAATGGTGGGGGACTTATAACTTACCTGTAATACCATCAGCAAAACCCATAAACAACAAAACAAGAGGCCCAATGGGCCTGCATCGCTCACCTAGTATTAATCTCACACTTGTTATCTTAAAAGTGGACTAAAATACAGCTACAGACAGAATATCAGTGTTTGATTCATAAGAACCTATCAAAAGATTTAAACATATGACGCCTGTGACCTTGAATGTCGAACAGGGACATACATTAAGTTGAACAGAGTTTATGGTCTTCCAACCCAGCATGCTTCTGGTAAAATATCATTCACCCTGGACCTTTTGGTTATACAGAACGAGTCATTTACAGATTTAAACATATATTGGCCACTGTGACCTTCCATATGGGCGAAGGTCATTCATTTAAACAAACTTGGTAGTCCTTCACCCCAGCATGTTAATGGCAAAAGTATTCTTTACTTTTCATATATTCCGAGTATGATGTAAATATAAAGAAACGCATTATAACTAAACGTCCTTTTGGAATGTGCGTGCTGAAACAAAACAAATTAGTTTTTTTTCCCTCTTTTATATATTGTTATTATTTTTGTATCAGTTCCGGATCTATACGTAGCCTTGTTTTGTGACTTATCGTGTACTTAAATCCGGTTTCCGGTTTTTATTATAATATTTATTGTTTACAAGATACCCATTTTACGACAGAAACGGAAGAATTAATAAGAAATGAATGGGGATATGATTGGTTTTTTTAACTCGTTTGGATCAAATGCAAGAGGAGTGGCTATCCTTTTGAGTAATAATTTCGAAACTAAAGTACATAGAGAAAAGAAAGATGCAACTGGTATTTTTTTAGCATTAGCCATTGAAATAGAAGATTCACACATTACTTTGAGTAATATATATGGCCCAAACCAAGATAACCCAGATTTTTACAACAAGGTATCGGAAGCTATTGAAGTTTTTGATAATACTAAGGTTATTATTTGTGGTGGTTTTAATCTAGTCTTAAACGTGAGCTTGATTATGATAAAAACTATATAAACTTAAATAACCCTCAGGCTAGAAACAAACTTTTGGAGATAATAGATCATTTTAATTTGGTTGATATTTTTAGAGAACACCATGAAGAAACTAGGAGATATACATGGAGGAAAAGTAATCCTATTAGACAAGCTCGTCTTGATTTTTCTTCTTATTTCAGAAAACCTACTTTCTAGTGTCAATCTTTCAAGTGTAGACCCAGGTTATCGATCAGACCATTCGTTCCCTAAAATTACAATGAAAATAAATGAATTTAAGAAGGGGGGGGGAGGGGGGCTTATGGAAAATGAATAATTCTTTACTACAAGATATAAAGTACTTAAATATTATAACAATTATATAGATAATGTTAAGAAACAATATTGTCTTCCAGTCTACAAGATAGATAACCTTGAAAATATATCGGACTCTGATTTACAATTTAATATAAATGATCAGCTATTTTTGGAAACTTTATTGATGGAAATCAGAGGAAAAACTATTTCTCATTCCTCATATAGAAAACAACAGCAAAATAATAGAGAGGATATTCTTAAGAAGTCAATAGCAGAGTAAGAGGCAGAGGGTGTAAATATAGAGGTATTGGAAAATAAGAAAAAAAGAACTAGAAACCATTAGATTGCAAAAAATTAAGGGGAGTATGATTCGGTCTAGAGCTAGGTGGGTGTAGGAGGAGGAACAACCGACTAATTACTTCTTCAGTTTAGAGAACAGAAACTTTACATCCAAAATTATACCAAAACTACATAAGGATACTGGTGAGATTTTGACGTGACAGGAAGATATATTAGAGGAAATGAGTACCTTTTATAGGAAACTGTATGATTCTACATGTGATGGTCATGACATAAATTTAATGTTTTTTCTTAGTGACTGTGAGGTACCGAAGCTGTCTCGGCTTGATTCTGATCAATTGGAGGGGTCAATTATTTATGAGGAAGCTAGTAAAACATTAAAACACATTAAGAATAAAAAAAGGCCAGGGTCCGATGGGTTTACAACAGAAATTTTTAAATGTTTTTGGAGAAAATTAGGGCATTTTGTTGTTAGAGCAATTAAATATGGTTATCATAGGGGGAATTATCTATAACTCAAAGGCATGGAATTATTACTTGTATACCAAAGGCAGATAAACCCAGACATTTTATTAGAAATTGGAAGGCTATATCATTGTTAAATATTGTTTACGAAATTGCATCAGGTACTATAGCTTATAGGATTAGAATTGTTTTTGACAAGTTAATAGATAGGGATCAAACTGGTTTTCTTTCAGGGCGGTATATAGGTGTAAACACAAGGCTCATACATGATATAATGCAATATACTGAAGAAAATGATATTCCTGGAATGCTTTTGACGATAGATTTTGATTCAGTGGCTTGGGGTTTTATTGATTGATAAAGTCTTAAATTTCTTTGGATTTGGTAAAAGTATTTCATTTTGGGTTAAAACTTTACACAAAAATGCTTATTCAGTCATTAATCAGGGCGGTAATCTGTCGTCTTCTCTTAATATTAAACGAGGTTGTCGTCAAGGGAACGCGATCGTCCCATATTAATTATACTCTGTGTTGAAATTTTGGCCCTCAGATTACGAAATAATGATAACATTCAAGGTATAGAAATTGATAATTGTCCAATATTAGTATCCCAATATGCAGATGATACCTCACTTATCTTAGATGGATCAGAAAAATCTCTGACAGAAGCAATTGAAGAACTTAATGAGTATGCCAAAATTTCGGGGGTGAAAATTAATATAGAAAAAACACAAGTAGTTTGGATTGGTAAATTACTATTATTAGTACCAGTGTTATTGTTGTTTATATATCACGTACTGAAGTAGGCTTCTCCCAGCCCTTGACAAAGCTGAAAATATTATGTCTTGTCTACCTCCCAACCTTTTCTTCCACTTTGTTTTTTTTTTAAATCTATTTTTTTCTTTCCTTTTCTTTAAACGTCTTTAATTCTTCCTACTTTCTCTTGCCTGTCCAGTCAATAAAGTGCAATATACATTCATGTAAATCTGACCTTATCACTGCAGGTATACAATAGACAATTTACTGTTTATTTGTTTTGTTACTGCTCCCTCAACTTTATGTGTATGCTGTCAGGATGTGACCATCATGCGACATGTGAAAGGTGATAATGTGTAGGAATGATGAGATATGAGGTATGGATGACATGCGGTAATGAATGATGCTGATGAGGATGTGATAAAATCATGCCTTGTATATTTTTTTCCTCTTGTTTTCTTGATAATAACATTGAGGATGATGACCACATGTACATGATGCGAGTATTNTTGGTTTTTTTAACTCGTTTGGATCAAATGCAAGAGGAGTGGCTATCCTTTTGAGTAATAATTTCGAAACTAAAGTACATAGAGAAAAGAAAGATGCAACTGGTATTTTTTTAGCATTAGCCATTGAAATAGAAGATTCACACATTACTTTGAGTAATATATATGGCCCAAACCAAGATAACCCAGATTTTTACAACAAGGTATCGGAAGCTATTGAAGTTTTTGATAATACTAAGGTTATTATTTGTGGTGGTTTTAATCTAGTCTTAAACGTGAGCTTGATTATGATAAAAACTATATAAACTTAAATAACCCTCAGGCTAGAAACAAACTTTTGGAGATAATAGATCATTTTAATTTGGTTGATATTTTTAGAGAACACCATGAAGAAACTAGGAGATATACATGGAGGAAAAGTAATCCTATTAGACAAGCTCGTCTTGATTTTTCTTCTTATTTCAGAAAACCTACTTTCTAGTGTCAATCTTTCAAGTGTAGACCCAGGTTATCGATCAGACCATTCGTTCCCTAAAATTACAATGAAAATAAATGAATTTAAGAAGGGGGGGGGAGGGGGGCTTATGGAAAATGAATAATTCTTTACTACAAGATATAAAGTACTTAAATATTATAACAATTATATAGATAATGTTAAGAAACAATATTGTCTTCCAGTCTACAAGATAGATAACCTTGAAAATATATCGGACTCTGATTTACAATTTAATATAAATGATCAGCTATTTTTGGAAACTTTATTGATGGAAATCAGAGGAAAAACTATTTCTCATTCCTCATATAGAAAACAACAGCAAAATAATAGAGAGGATATTCTTAAGAAGTCAATAGCAGAGTAAGAGGCAGAGGGTGTAAATATAGAGGTATTGGAAAATAAGAAAAAAAGAACTAGAAACCATTAGATTGCAAAAAATTAAGGGGAGTATGATTCGGTCTAGAGCTAGGTGGGTGTAGGAGGAGGAACAACCGACTAATTACTTCTTCAGTTTAGAGAACAGAAACTTTACATCCAAAATTATACCAAAACTACATAAGGATACTGGTGAGATTTTGACGTGACAGGAAGATATATTAGAGGAAATGAGTACCTTTTATAGGAAACTGTATGATTCTACATGTGATGGTCATGACATAAATTTAATGTTTTTTCTTAGTGACTGTGAGGTACCGAAGCTGTCTCGGCTTGATTCTGATCAATTGGAGGGGTCAATTATTTATGAGGAAGCTAGTAAAACATTAAAACACATTAAGAATAAAAAAAGGCCAGGGTCCGATGGGTTTACAACAGAAATTTTTAAATGTTTTTGGAGAAAATTAGGGCATTTTGTTGTTAGAGCAATTAAATATGGTTATCATAGGGGGAATTATCTATAACTCAAAGGCATGGAATTATTACTTGTATACCAAAGGCAGATAAACCCAGACATTTTATTAGAAATTGG